CCAATGAAGCTGGACGCCTCTCCTTCATCGCAGCATAGAACTTGTGAGCCTCAGGTTGGTGGTGCAGAAACCCGAGATGAGTCCGCTTGGCGAGCCTGGCCATTGTCTTAAGCGATCCCCTTCACAAGGCTCGAATAGGGGCTGTGTCCAGGCCTCGTCACCTCTTCCAGAGCACGATCACCTGCGACGAGCTGTTGGATCGTTGGTTCACAGTCAGACATGCTGCGAGGACAAGTCGTAAGACAGCTGTCACGATTCCGTTGGGCCCGTCCATTTGCGCCATCCTTGTGATGATGACCGGTCGAGCATGTGTAGCAGGAACATGCATCGACAAGTGCGAGGTCCAGGCCGGTGCGCTGTCGCAATGTTGCAGAAAGCCGGTAGTTCGAACCATTTAGCAAGGGCTCCTTTCCACATTTAATTTCCCACACTCGCCAACCGGAAATCTCCCATGACGGCCAGCGTAGGATGAGATCAATTCCGCCACAAGTGTCAGCTCTCTGTTCTTTGTTGCGCTTGTTTGCGGTCACCCCAAGCAAATACAGTCGCTGACTTGGCTGGCTTGGAGGTGCAGCGTAGCGCAGTGAAGCGTGCGGCGGATGTCGTGGCACCATAACTGGACCATCTCAGCGACGCGATTCATGTGCAGAGCAATCTGCCAGCGAGTCGTCCCTGGTTGTGCGCCAGTTGTGCATCTTGTCGAGAAGCGTTCCAGATCACAGACACTTTGGTTGAGCGGAATCTGGGCACGAGCGAATCTTTAGTGGGGCTCTCCTGGCCACCACGTGACACAAACACCTGTCAAACGCCGCTCTTCGGTCATGAGATGTCTCTACTTACCAGACAAACTGAAGACCTCGAAAGGCTGATAGAGTTATTATTGGAGGCTGGCGCATACTTCCTGGGTGGATTCTGCAACAAGCCATCCGACCTGCATCGTCTCTCGGCTTTGCATCCACTCGAAAGTCTCTACAGTACAGTCTCAGTCATGGTGGTTCACACGGACGCGCAGCAAGTCACATCGTCCTCTCGTTTCTCGATTTTATGCCGCGCAACCCAAGGTGAACCGCTCGCATGCTGAAAACTATGCGGGCGATGTCTTAGCGACTGCCATGTGAAGCACGACCTATATCACGACGTCGGAATAAGAACCAGACCTGTGCTATACGACTTGCACCTACACGGGTTGGCACACGTGGAGCTAAATACCTTCTTTGGTCTCGACGCGTGTCTTGCCCGACCATGCCTGATGCGAGGAGTAACGTTCCGCAGCCTACTCGAGCCGCTGTGCAACACCACTACTAAGCTTGCCGGATTGACAATGCATAGAGCCCTCGCAGTACGTCTTCTCTGGCGGCGGGCATCTTCGCATCTGCATGATGTGAGGTGCACGCAGGATTCACTCTTCGTGATGTAGCCGTCTACGCTTTTCTCGGCACGTTTGATACTACATCTTCTCGGGAAGACAGACGTACTACAATAGTGTATTAGTAGCAATACTAATACGCAAATCGGAGCACAAAATCCGCGCAAGTGTGGTTGATCTGGAGAGGGCTAGCTTTCTGGCATTAAGTCGAAGGCTTTCGATACGGGAGTTGCTTTCCCGTGAGCCTGGTCACTGACACTCATCCTCGATCCGTCACTCGGCCCAGATCTAATGCCACGGGATCGCAGTAATGCGGGCGCTGTATCCGCTCATGCTCAGCTGTTCAAGTAACGATGTCTCCAACATTCCGTGGCACTACATCGACCGGTCTGCTGACATGCTTCCGGGTCCGTTCAGCGACGCCAACCAGATCTCACCAGCTGTCAGATATCGACTGCACTAAACGTACGTTGCGTTGTTGCCTGACAGGCTGGTGTTATCTCCTGGCGTCAGTCGAGATTGATGATTGCAAGATCTCACTGTAAGATATCGGTTTCATCCCCATTCAGGGAGGCTTTGGCTAATTATCTTGGTCACAACAAAGGCTCTTCAGACGCAAAGAGTCTGGGCCACTTTGCATCACCATAAGAAGCTGACGCATGTCCAGGTTGTGTAAAGGACATGACTGCAGATGTTTAAGCAGACCATATGCTCACCCATTTTGAAACAAGAGAAGTAAGTACTTATCGTCCGAAGGCAGGTCGTTTTCTCTTCGTTGTCTGGATCCTTATCTTGTTCTTATATCTCCGCGGAACGGGTGGAAAGGGCGGCAGTATGCCAGCGCAATCTCATAACTCTACTTTCAAGGGGTGGTGTATTTGATCACTAGTAGAGGTTCCTACCCTTCAACTCTTGCTGGGTGGAGATGTGATGCTCGAGCAAGAGCGGTAGTCTCTACCGCCATTGATGATGGGAGGCGGCCTTGATAGCATTCTGCAACTTCTGCGCTTGGCTCCAGACACGTATATGTGGTTCTCATCCTCACGTATTACTTTGCGTATCGCGACCCAGCGGTGCGGCTCAAGAACTCACTTGGTGCGTCGAACGGTGAGCTGCATACACCTGGAGGTACGCGCCAGCTTCTTACTGGATGGAATAACCGGTAACAATGGCAAATCAGCCGGCGCTGCCAGCCGTGATATCCAATTGGAAAGCGAGTTGGGCCGCAATAACCAGCGTACAGATTCGCGGCAGTTTGAAGGACCACACTACTATAACGATAGGTACGCCCGAAGCGCATGGTCGAGAACCCGATTGTAGTGAAAGAGATCTTCCGGAGACAACGCACGTATACAAACCTTGCGCTGTGCATGGTGTTGGATTGGAGCAGCCTGGATTTCACATCTTCAACCGATCTTGGAACTGATCACAACAGCCGCGACCCAGTTCTGTCTGTTCATCCACCGGCCATCGCTGATATAACCCAATGATTTCGGCTGCTGGCGGAGCAAGGATAAGACGAGCTCTTTCTATGGTACCCTATGCATGTTTCCTCCATGCACGCAATTGCACATCCCATTGCATCACTCCGCTCTATCTGCAGCGGTTCTGGGATCGATGATGATCCTAGGTATGCGTTGTGTCCAGGCTTTTTTGCATTCCATGGTCGTTGATCGCATAGAGTTGCTTTCAAGAACTGGGTATGATGGCTTCCAGCATCCTGGAGCAGTAAGTACGTGATGAACTCACGTGCAAGCTTAACTTGCTGACACGCTTCCAAGGTTGCGTGCGTTGACCCTGTCACAGCCCGCACCATAACCGTGCCACGCACGTGAACGAACGTTTGATGCAGGCTCATGCCTGACGCAGCTGCACGGGACCGACGCCACATGCATACGACACATCCCACGTGCAGTCGTCTTGCTCACGACCGTTGGCCTGGCCGAAAATCTTGTTTACGGGTATGTCTAGTGTAGGGGGGCGTACCGGCATTCGGTGCGCACGGGAGCGTCCAAGGGTGGGTCGAACGGCCACGGCCCGTAATCGGTAGGCTTTAGGTACGGTCTTCGAGGTTTTGCCATGAAATACAAGGCTTTTGAGGAAAGTTGACATTTGCTTCCTGATCCGTTGTTGCGTGCGCCGGCTGTATGCGATGCAACATGGTTGGTGACTTGTCGATAACCCATGTCATCACGGAATTTAGGAAATACGAATCGAGATTAGAAGACAAGCTCTAGATCCTAAGCATGTACAAGGCCCGTTGCGGGTAGAGATTCAGTCCCTTGAGGCAAATGCGTTATCTCAGTAGGCCAAACAGGAGGCGCCCTCCGTGGGATGTCTTTCGGTTAGAAATAATGTGGCAGCTTTCCCCCACTTGTGGCGGGCAACGGTAGAGTTTGAGGGTGTGTGGTTCCCGCGATAGTCGAGTCCGACACTGAAGTGTCAAGGTTCCGGTAACACCATACCATATCTGCCGGATTAAGCGTAAGCCGCCACTGCCGCCAGCCAACGAGAGAATTGCCATCTGAGTCATGCTGCTGATTTTCGGCATACCGAAAGATGACCCTTTCTAGAATCGGCATTGCTACCCAGTGAGGTTGAAGGAAGGCATATCGGTGTGCGGCTTAAATACCAGCTCGTGCCGTGTGGGTGTACAGCCGACCATTATCCCGCGTCGAGGCGAACCACTGGTTTGGGCCACTACATGACTATCAACCACTCGGTACGATTACTTCGGTAGGATACTGGAAGTTCATTTGGAGACGATGATTGGAGATCGGAAGATTTCTACCATGAGAGAGGAAGCTCGCTTTTGATTAACGGGTATATGGATCGAACCAACATGCAAGATTACCACGAGTCGCTTCCTGCACCGGAAGAGGTTACCAGAAGCAATGAGCGGTGTGACTCGCAGTATCAGAAAAGAAATGCGAAATTCTGGGAGCTGCAGCAAGGTAACGCGCGTGGAAGGGCATAGTACATTAGACACGAAACTTGAGCGTCTTTCGACTCCTCCACCCGAACAGCTGTGATTGAAATGAGTCTGCTGTTCCCTTATACCTCTACCAAGCGCCAAACTCCAAAGGATCAAATAAAACAAAAGCTCCTGCGTGGACTCCTACAGTAAGGATGGTCGATGAAAGGGCGTAAACCACGCAACAAGCGCTAATGTTGAGTCCAAATGAGACGTTTCCTGTTCTCGTATGTGCTGGCCTCGATCACGAATCTACTAGCGCGACGAATGGCTGGATGGACAGGTGGTCGGGTAGTAACGGGGTATATGTCGACCAACGTGGCCAGCGGGTGGCGCGATGATGTGTGCCGAATTTCAGGCGTCCTCTGCTTTCTTCCCATTGATGGCTTTGAGCTCGACATCGCTGCCATCGCGTTAGCATTCCGCTTTGCAGCCTGTGCACTGATCCCGCGATAACAAGGTGAAAGGAACAGCATGTGAGCTGTGCGCTGTGTGGAGGAACAACACACACACTTGTAACACATAAATGAGGCGTCGCAAGCGCGCTGTAGTGTCCCAAATGACGAAGAAAATGAAGTTGGGCACCTACAAGATCAATTTGGCATTGGCCGGGATGTGTCCAGGAAAGCCACTGTTGTCCACATGGTCAGCACTTGCACCTCATGGTCTGATCAGATCGTCGAAGTGCAAAGATGCGGCGATGCCAATAGGCTGCAGACATTCGTGTTGTACAAGATTGGCGGTTGCTGCGGCATGGACGTCCAGGAGCGCGGGAGATTCGAAGAAGCATGGCTCAAACGATCTTCGGAACGTCGTCAGCCGTACTAAGTCTTGGCTCCGTCGGGCGTTCGTGTTCACGGTGGCGTGTGTACTTCCAAGGTTCGGTAACGTCCCGTCTTACTTGTTCCCGTCCCGACCATGGAATGTGCAAATTGTAAAGTCGAACTTACCGAGTGCCATATGCATAATCACTGCATCGCACGTATCATTAGTATAGTACACTCACGCGGAAGGATACGTCGTGGGGATTACGTACGATGTTATGATTAAAGTCGCCTTCTCTCCCAGCGTCATTGGAGAAGCCTCTGCGGAGCCTAAAATGCCCTCATCCCAGCCTGTGCATGAGCTTTAGCCAAATGCGCGTTCAGAATCGTAGAATGCATATGCACCAAGCACAGAGCGGGTTGGGTTGGGCATACCTTTGATGACCCGGCCGGCACCGATGGGGGTGATCAGGTCACCGCGACCTACGGAAGTATCGAATCTGAAGAACGATCAATACAGCGCTCTATTCGATGTCCAAGGCATGAACGCTGCCGGTTCGCTTACTGTCCGCCCTTGTGGTCCGGGGCATCATCGTCAAATAGCCATCCTGTTGTCGTTGTTAGATGTTGATCTCCGGTGAGGAATCAAGTAACTAATCTCACCAGTGTATTCCATAGATACCTCGTCATGCTTCTTCGGGAAGTCTATGCCATTGCCAGGTCTGATCACGAGCTTTTCAACGCCCATATTGAAGGGAACGAGCATGGATAGCGTCTAGGGCGGGTTTGGGAAAGGTGAAGCTTGAAGCAGGTGGCAGGTAGTGTATATAGAGTATCCACTTCCTTTGGTACTGATTAAAGATAGCGTGTCGTTTTGAAAATCCGAAATCTGCAAAGATGGGGAAGTACGTTAGAAAGTGGGTGGACCCTAGAGTTTAATAGTGGTGCCGATGTGTAGGACCAGGAGTAGGAAACTCCGTAGATGCTCTGACTGGAGCTCAGACTTTCATGGCTTTTACTTTGACCAAAAGCATACCAGGGTTTTGCCGCGAAGCTGTGCAACAGATTGGTCTGTTCAGATGCGTCAAGCATACTTTTTAGCCTCTTCGCATACGCACACGTTCCACCTCTTTGGCTCCAAGGTAATTGCGGGCTACGTATGGTACGACCCACAGCCGTCAGAACGTGTCTCCCGGGGAATCCTGCCCGAAGCTCAGGCCGTTTTGAAATGTCAGAAGTAAGGTTGGTCTAGCCCTTCCAAACCATTCTTCATCTGCAGCATCCCAGCTGACACGCGATGGGGGATCCACAATTGACATGGTGGAAGGTTGTACCCGTACTACAGTTTCCCGCGACTACCGAGCGGCCTGCCAACTTCGATGCGGATCTTTGTTTTGTGATAACACGGGTATAATCATGTCCGATAGTGGCTTAGCTCTCTTATCGACGGTAATAGGATGACACAAGGGTTGATTTGTAGCCGCTTTAATTGAAAGGAAGCAGGGCGGTGGCGCGCAAGAGAGTGCGGTCAAGCTTGAAGTGCGGTGACGGTCACCACGATCATGAGCCATCTAGCACCAATGTGCGCATGGCGCTGGCGCCAGAACCTTAACCTCATCCAAGGAAGCGGAAGGCGCAAATGAGCCGGCCGTGGCCCCTACCTCATTTGGAGTCGCACGATGGAAGCAAAAAGGAAAAGCGCCTCTGACGCAGCAATGTTCGGTCTTGTCGAATAACACACGGCCGCCGCATTCCTCCATGACAAAGGGCGATGCGTAAACTTTGGTACCGCAATGCATAAGGACCTGCATGACCTAGCTTTTACGCTGCTTGTGTAGGGCGCAAAAGGATCTCCTTGTAGGATACTCTTCCAGCTCCGTGGAGGCAGGTGGCGGTCATACAGATTTGAATATGGATATGGACAGGGGTGACGTGCATACGCAACACCGTTCTCGAAAAGCAATGTTCGGTCCTTCATGGTAGATGTACCCCGCGGTTTCAAATTTCCAATCACTAATCGGCATTCTGCTCTTCCACACCTAATCGTCTCCTTCATGCTACCGCTATATCCGCATCCCTAATATACGACCAGGAGACTATCGTACCTCGTAGTCTTCACTTCCCCTGCGTCTCACGCCGGCCCAAGAACCTAGCTGTGTTTCTGCTTTCGAGTCTGTTATAGTTTGCCAATCACACACGCGTCGGATACACACCCGGCTGCCGTACGGAGCTAGACCCACCCGAAGAACAACCGTATTTCGAGCGGTTCGTCGAGATAACCATATGCGGAACTGCTGGCTATCGTGCTTCTCGCGGCAAACGAATAATTCATTTGAACTAGAGGGACAAAGCACAAGCACAAGGGGTGCGGGGCTAAAGAGTAAATCCGATGGCCATTACACGTGGTCTTTCAACCGTGCTCCAGCCATCCCTTCTCAGATCGCGAGCCCTGTGCGCTGAGTCGGGAGCCCAACAGCGTGGTCTGGGAGCATCGTACGCTTTGCATTGGCTAGATAGAGTGCGCTTGCAGCGGCAGCTGAGTCGTGGAGAAGAGGAGCCCCCACGCATCTGGAGTGCAGTATCGTGATAGACAGCATGAGCCACAGTCGACTAGTGATGTCGACTCGCAAGTTGCATGTCACCGAACCGTCGGATGCGTTCGCTTCTATTAAATATCCGAAGGCCATGGGCACTGCATGTAGGCACCCTACCAACCGTTGACAGAAGGTGCTTGATAGTGTGGCCCCGGCATTCGGGCCCGAAACTCTCCTTGCTGAGAGTTTCAGTGGCGCTTCTAACTACCGAAGGGCTATCCATCGCGACGAGTATATCACCCTATCTTGGCCCAGAAGGGTAATTGCGCCAGGTCGGTTACAGCAATGCTAGAGAAGCCCGCGTTGGGGAAGCGGCTGTCTTTGCGCTCACCGGCCCGGTCAGCAAAATGTATCCGGTCTATCCCTGCCTTCTGTACGAAAGCCAATAGTCGCGCATAGTTTGTACCTATCTGGTCAATCCCATGACTGTCATCAGACATGACGAAACCACCTCCCATGCTTAAGAACATCTATGACATAGGTTAGTAAGTTGACGCCGAGACCGGGCACATGGCGGTGTGACTGACCTGACATATGGGCAAGCACGGATACGGCTCGGCCAAACCTTTCCGCAACCCTGATGAGTTCAGCTCCAGTAGAGCGCCATAAGAGGCTACGTATTCCAGATTGCGTTTGATCTTTTCCCAAACACCAGTCATGCCCTTGAAATCAACATCGCGATGATCGCTAAGTAGGCGAATGAGATCGAAGTGCCCGACCACTGGTGGCCGCAGCTCTTGAAGCATTTCGTACTGAGAGTCGAAGTAATCTTCAAAGAGCCGCTCGTCCGTCCCGCCTGCCTTTTCCCGAGCTTGTTCGTACATGGCACGGTCGTAGTCGATGGGTATGGTGTGCGTATGGTGGACAGAGCCCATGAAGAAGTCGAAAGTATACTTGTCGAAGATGCTTCGGATGAGTTGCAGTGTCGATGGACGAATCCATTCCGTCTCGAAACCGATGAGGATCTGCATCTGGTCTGAGTACGCGTCTCTAAGTCTGTGGGCTTCGACGATAAAGGCGTCGAACAGTTTCGCGAGGCTCTCTGCGGTGTGCGATTCGGATTCTTCGGGGTAGAAGTCTTCGAGAGGTCTAGGTATATGCTCCGTCAGCGCAAAGGTATGGAAACCTTTGGCTATCGCTGCCTGGGTAACTTCCTCGAGTGTGTTTTGCGCATGTCCGCAGAACTGGCCAGAGTGGCTGTGATGCGAGTACGGCATTTTCGAGTAGCCGGCACACGTTCGATCTGGTACAGTGTATATGGGTAGCGTTGTGCAGTAGATAGGCAGTACAGGCTGCGAAAGTCTGTAGTGAATTAGCGACGAGGTGCAATACCCCGTCAACTGGTGAAGTCGCGAAACTGTGAACTGTGAACTGTGTAATGACTGTAAGAGTCAGCTGTACGTTTAAGAAAATGGTCGCGCAGAGGATTCTGCGAGCTTTGTATCGGTTCTTTCCAAAATTTGGGTCATGTCATCCATCCATGGTTCCATCCGTTGAGCCTCGGAACTGTGCCTAAGCGGGCCTAGTTCACCACCGTTCTGAACCAACCGTAGACGCACACCTCAGCCTTGAAGGCCAATTGAACCCAACGCGAAGTAAGCTATCATTTTTCCAACACTCGATACAAGGGCAGTTTTGGATAGCTCAAGTCTGCCGCACAGTATATCCCACACATCATCCAAATCTATAGCCATCAAGAACGATCCCACTACCATCAACGACCCTAAAGGCCATCAATATAGCTCAACATGGCGAACACCCAGCTCCCCATCACATCACAAACCTCACCCACAATCTACTTCGGCTACGGTTCCAACCTCTGGCTCCACCAAATGAGCACCCGCTGCCCAACATCCAAATACCTAGGCGTCGCCCGCCTGCCCAACTACCATTGGATCATCAACGACCGCGGCTACGCGAACGTCGTCGAATCCTCCAAGCAAAACTCGTCCTCCAATTCGTACTCTGATGTAGTATTCGGCCTCGTCTATTCGCTCTTACCAGAAGACGAAAAGAGACTGGATAAAAACGAGGGCGTACCGGTCGCATACACAAAAGAGATGCTCACGTGCGATTTCTGGCCTTCAGACACAGAGCACAAGGTTGATACTAGCAAGCATCCGGAGAAAAAAGAGTCAATGCTCGTTTATATTGATCGGAATCGTGTTACGCCGGATAAGCCGCGGGACGAGTATGTTTACAGGATGAATCAAGGGATCGCTGATGCAGTCAAGTTGGGGGTACCAGAGGGCTATGTGAGAGACGTGATGAGGCAGTACATTCCGGCTGAAGAGGATGAGGAGGGGAAGGAGGGGGAAAGGGAGAGGATGGCGGAGTTTGCCAGAGGGCAGGCGGCAGAGTTTAGGGATGAGAGTGGTGTGATGCAATAACATGTCGGTTTGGTCATCACGTCGCACGCCAGGTATAGAATAGAGAAGGTATTGAATGAGTTAACAGACTAGACCACCCGGATATGAAGCAAGACATGCATCACGCGACGATACACAATGCAACGAAGCTCATGGCAGTCCACGTCCAAGCAATGAAGCGGCACCAAGCTAATCACTGCCTTGGACCTCTTCTGTCGCTCGGGCTTGTGCGTCAGAGTCGTCCTACAACTCCTCACGGGCCCTGCGGTAGCTGGCCTATGAATGCAATGCATCAGTTGGGTCCTCTGCAAAGAAGTCTAGTAGTCGGAAGACTGATGTCTACGCACCTCCTGTTCCACCTGCAGCTGCTCGACGACGGGAGCCAGCTCGGACAAGATGTCGTAGGCCTTCTTGTGGTATTCGAGTTGGGCGGCGATGAGTTCGGCGAGGTTGCGGAGAGGCTCGGGGGTGTCGAGGACCTAGTCGGAGGTTAGCGGGGGTGCCAGCACATGGTGGTGTAGGGTGAGGGGTATAGTCGTACATTCTTCATGACGCCGACAGCCTCCTCAGTCTGACCGACGAACTCGTCCTCGGCCTGCTCGATCTTGGCTCTGGCGTCTTCGCTGATGTCGTCGTCCATGACGTCTTTCTTGGGAGCCTGGCCCGGCAGGGAGAAGGCAGGGCCCTTGGCATTGGCCTTGGTGGCATCGAGGCTCAACCTGGAGTTCTCGACGGCCTTGCGCGCACGTGTGGCGAACTGGATGTTGGTGTTGAGCGTGGTGCTC